TTCTTGTTATGTGACTTAATTGGTGGTTGCTTATTAGCTTAATTCAAGCCAACATATATATTAATTGGATTCAAAAAATCAACCTATTTTTAATTCAAAACCCACTATACCTTGTAGGAAAATTAACTTCTTTTTTTAAAGAGTTTTGTTATAGTATTGAAGTTTTTATTGGGGTGTTTTATGTGGATATTCAATATGACATGAGTTTTAGTTTATTGATAAATAATTAACCTCGGTATTTTTTATTGATGAACTAGTTATTGCATGTGTTTGAAAGCACATAATAATAAAAAAAAATGGTCAACAATAAATATATTTATATTTACACCCAAAATCAAATCAGTAATACTACGCTGACCAAAATTTTGGATTAAATTAAGAGCTCAAATGACATGACAGTATATTATTTGGAGTCTTTATTGGGGTCCAATTGACATGACACCAAATAAAAGAAGCCCAAGTTAGCTGTCACGTTATTTAGGCTCTTGATTTGGTCTAAAAATTTGGTCAGTGTAGTATTATTACAAATCAAATAACAAACATAGAACAAAGAAAAGAATTTAAACACCGGTTGTTGTAGGGGTGAAAGATGATAGTGGTAGTAATGGTGGTAGGAAACGATAATGATTGTGGTAGGTAACGACGATCGCGGTGAAAGTGGCAGTCATGAGTTACAATAGTGTTGCTGGTGGTGGATTTTTGGTGAGAATGCTGGTAGTGACAGTCATGGGTGACGGCAGTGGCGGTTGTGAGCGATGATAATTGTGGTTAGCAGCAGTGGTGGTGCGGCGACAAAGGTGGTGGGCAGTGATGATGGTGGTGGTGGGCAGTGATGCGACGACGGGTGTTTCTTGACAATAGTGTGATGGGTTATGGTAAATGGCAATGACGGTGGTGATAAGTGTTGTGGGGATAGGTGACAGTGGGTGACGATAGTCGTGGACGATGACGATTGGTGACAAGTTTGATGGGGTGGGTGACAGTAATTGGCAGCGATAGTGTGCAATGATGGGTGGTGGTGAGTTGTAATAGCGGGCGACGATAGGTGGTGGTAAACAACAATGGTAGTGGTGGGGTGTTGACGGTGGGTGACGGTGATAATGTCAACAAATATAAGAATAAGATGAAAATTATGATAGGTGGTGGTTGTTGACGACGGTAATAACAAACGGTAGTGAGTAACAATGGTGATGGGGCAGCGGTGGCGACGGGGGTGGGGGTGGGATGGCGATAGTAACGACAACGACGGTGGTGGTGATGGTGGTCGTAAGGTGGCGGTAGTGGTGGTGTGGCGATAGTGGTAGAACAGTTTCAAATATTATTTTTTTAAAAATATTCATAAGTAGTTATAAATTTTAGAAATATTTTTAAAAATTCATAACAAACACACTCTTAGATGCCTATTTTTTTTTATTAAATTTGAAGTGTTAATATCAATCATCGTATTAACTTTAGAGTAAAATTTAAATATATCTCAATCGCGAAAAGTAAAAATTATTTTGTTTATCTTTTTTAAATTTAAATTGTATTATACTTTATTATATAGATAATAAAAAACTGTTTCATACACTTGTATTTTGCATTTGTGGGTAAAAACCATTCAAACATTTTCACCCTACTTTTCTTTTGTCTTTACTTAATTACCCATTTCTTTACTAGAGTTGTTGTTAGGTCATGTTGTATCATGTAAATAGTCTTGCGTGGATATTTATTTGATCTATAATCAATTCATTTATAATAACATTAGCTTAACAGTCATGATAGTTTGACTAATATTTGGTCCAAAATTATGGCCTTATAATAACAATAGCTTAACACCTGATTGGTATATTTGGATTTTACAGCACTATTTGGACTACAAATGTAATTTCAAAATTGGCCAGTGTAGAATTCTAAGTATATAGTTTAATTCTTTTCAACAAATATATGTCCATCCACTTGTAACATAAGCCTACTAACCTGCACGGGTAGTTCAGCGGTGTGGGGTTAGACTTGGACGAACTGTAGACCTGAACTTTAGGGGTTTAATTCTCACTAGTACCTCCCAAGATTAACTAATATTTGTGGTTTGAGGGTGATAGTAAATACTCGAGATTTATTCTCACAAAGATAGATCCAAAATAACCATACTTTACAAAAGTTTCTCATTAACTAAAATAAATAACCAATTAAACCTAAGTACATGCCCATGAACATGAACTTGTTAATTTGTCTGGATATACATTCACTATAGGGTTCCTTTACGGTACCCAAAAGTTTTGGTTCCTCTCTCACCAATGCTACAGTCACCACCTGGCATTTCCTTCATATGTCACTTCATTGCTTACCATTATATCAATAAACTTTATTGTTTTCATTACATATTTAATAATTGTGATTATAATTCAAAAGATGATGAAAATAAAATCATACATAAAGGTGGCGTGCACATCATTATCCATATAATAGTGCAAGAGTGCATCACAAAGAGGTGAAGGGTGCACCTCAGGAAGTGAATACTCGAGTGTGGTGCACCAAAGGCCAGAGGCTCATAGTTACAAATTCTTCAAATCAAAATTAACGATTCTCAATCAAATTTTGAAATGATACCTAAGCCTTATGCTTGAATCAATACCTTAAATCAAAATTTTAAGTTCCCTGGCATTACAGCTATGGATTTTTTGGGATGTTATCTTGGACATCAAGGCTGTAGTTATATTTTCAATATCATATCATGCATATTGGAAATTCCCTAAAAACTAGTGCAATAATACTAGTGCTTGACAGTAGCTGCAGTACCACTGTTGGTTTGGTTTTGAAACGTCCAATCTCCTTTGAGTAAACTACTTGTTGAAGGAGAAAAAGCTTTCCAAAGCTAATGATACTGGCCCCTGTACATATAAGGAGCGCGACTCTCCCGGGAGTCTTATGGGCACTGGGTCCTAAACCTCTGCCATAAAATCAACATCTGTCTCGCTCTCTCTCTCTCCAGAAATGGTCTTGGTAGTCGTCGCCGCCAGCTATACCTTGTCACAGAACCTGACCCTGGACATGACCAGCCATATGTCTTTCTTCAATCTCTCTCTCTCTCAACATTATCTCTCTGCGTGTCTTACTATCTGCACATGGTTGTTCTGCAAACTGGGTTATCACAAACAGTTCATGACCCTGATCGGAACAAAACCAGCAGTGCTCTTTTCACTGTTTACCGTTGAAATTGCAGTGATCAGTCTCAAAACCACTCTCTTACACGGCGGTACAAACAAGTGCTCACCACCATTTTCTCCAAACACCATAGCCAACAGAATTCTCCAGATATTATATTCAAAAAAAAGTTGTCAGATATAAATTTTCAAATTTATATCTGACAATTTATATATAGGCATTGATTACAAAAATAATAATAAAAAATATTTCATGTTATAATATTTGTGAAAAATAAAAAAGAGGATGTGATATGAAATAATTTTTTTTTTTCAGCTTAACAGTTTTTCTTTGTATTGGTCTTTTGTGATTGAGCAGTCTTAAATAATATCAGTGAAAAATCTATCTCATTTGAGCTGGAGGAATAGTGCCACAAACTCAATCTTTTTTTTTATTTGATGATTAATTTCTCTTTTATTTGTGCCAACAGGAGTGTATGATCAAATATCTTTGTTTCATCTTTCCAATGGATCAATGAGTTTTATCTATGCTTCCTAATAAGTTGTGTCGTGTTGTGTTTCTTAGCTATTAATTTGTTGGATTCAAAATTTGATTAATTTATACTTAATCTATTTATAATTATGTGCAATTGAGTTTGTGTTATATAGACACACCATATTTAGTTAAATTCAATTGATGCTAAATTGGTGTTGATCTATTTATATAATGGGTTTGATGGTTTAACATATCACATACATGTACCATGTCTAGAATTAACACGTGTATTCCCATTCATTCTAATTTTTTTTAGTTTAATGGTTAGGGTGGTTCGAGTTAATTTATACGCACTTTAATTAATTATCTCTTCAGTCTGATTTAAGACAGACTATCCACGTCGGGATTAAGGTATTCACAAGAGATAATTTTTGTATGATCTGACTCCAAAAAATTATTAAAATTTGAATTTAAAACGTTTAAATTTACGGTTCGTCTATGTTATCAAATGATATGCTACGGTACAAGCAAAGTATCATGTGGAAATTGATCACTAATTTTGGTTAATTTGAATAATCTAAAATTATTTATTGAAACAATGCTAAAGTAACAAAAAAATAAAAATAAAAAAACCTTATATGTATTACATTTTCATTTTTAGCACCATAATTAAACTCTTGTTTACATAAACGAGAAATGGGGTAGAGGAAGTAAGCAAACATGACATAGGAAACATTGTAGAGTCCGCCAGACAAAAACTCTACAGGATGAAAAATAAGAGAACTGAAAGAAAAAGAACAGTGAAGATGAAAAGATTATGTGAAACGGTGAAAGAGGAGGGAGTAAAGGAAAGAGAACAAAAAGAAAGGGAGATAAAAACGTAACTGGTAGGTAGCCACCACCCTTATCATCTACTTGGGGGTTCCTTTGCTTTTATATATAGTTTTAAAATACATTTCTTTATTCTTCAACAAAGAAAAACTTGTCGTCCACCGAAGAAACGAAGCGCCGGTGCCGGTTCCGGCCAAGAGCCAACACTAGACTCTTCTCCTTCATCTCCACACCATTTGAGATCAGCCCTCAGATTTTCAGATGATACTCTCATGGTCTGTTCATAGGATGATCAAGGCCCAGTGCAACTTCACCTCTTGGCATCCTTTACCCCAACCCAAGAATTCTTGATTCTCTCACGAAAAGAAATTTTCGATGACTTCTCAATCTACAAGAAATGATATTCTCTCACAAGTTGTTTTGGCTATGCGTTCTTTAGCTGCGTCAAATTTTTAGGGTTTTGATTTGTCTTCCAGAACTTCTTTATTTAGGGTTTTGCTTTTGGGTCATTGGTCGTTTATGTAGTTTTGATGGTCTAAGTTTAGTAACAAATGGAGGATTATGATCAAGTGAGTGAAAACACAGCTTCAAGAGGGAGTTTCTTGTACGGAGGTCTGCTTCTTGGACCAAGCTCTTCTGGTTATGTGAGAGAAAGAAGTAGTATTGAGAACCAGCAAACCCAGTTGCCGAGTAATAGATTTCATTTTCAAACAAGCGAGTGCTATCAATCTGAAGGGCAAGCACACCAGATTGTGAAGACTGAAGCGGGCAGTTCTCAAAATGCTCAGAAGTTCCACTACCCAATTTTCAGATCAGGTCATCATCAGAGTACTGTTCAAGATCATCAACAACAACAGCAACGAGAGAATGAGAGCCTAAACGAGGCTGAAGATATTAAGGCTAAGATCATCGCTCACCCTCAGTACTCCATCCTTTTGGAAGCTTACATGGATTGTCAAAAGGTATACCTATTACCTACACATATGCTCACAATCATATAATAAACCCATTTGACAGCATGAAAGAAAGGGAGCTCATTCCAAAAGTTTCTCTCTCTCTCTCTCTCTCTCTCTCGTGTGTAAATCAGTTGGGAGCTCCGCCTGAGGTGGTTGCGCGGCTGACAGCGGCTCGACAAGAGTTTGAGGCAAGGCAGCGAGCTTCGGTGACTGGCAGAGATGCTTCAAAGGACCCAGAACTCGATCAATTTATGGTGATTAATTTGTATTTTTCCTTATTTCTTATGGCATGCCAAGGGTTCATATATTTTTCGAGTCTTCAGTTCAGTCTCATTTTCGTTTATTTGAAGAATATGATTTTGATCTTCCAATTTTCGATCAATATGTAGGAAGCTTATTCCGACATGCTAGTCAAATATCGTGAAGAGCTTGCAAGGCCCTTACAAGAGGCTATGGAATTCATGCGAAGGATCGAAACACAGCTAAATACACTTTGCAATGGTCCCGTGCGAATCTTTACTACAGGTACTTTCTCTATCCAGTATCCACCTCAGAGAGAGAGAGATTCGTCATCATCTTTGCCAGTTAAAAGAAAGAATGATGATGCATAACAGGGTTGAGTCGCCGAGATGGTTTTGGACCTTTGGTGTGTCAGAAAATGATTGTTGAACTGTTCAGCTACCCTCAAATGCGGTGTCCTCCTGAGTCCCGACTCTTCAGATCCATAGGCCTTCCCGGGTTTCGCTCATTATATTTTGTCCCATTTCCGGTGAAGAGAGAGAGAGAGTTGCCAAGAGTGGCCAAACCCTAATCACGAGGCTATAGTAAAAATATTTGATTTGGTTCCATTATGCAATAAACAATGGGAGACCAAACGAAGGCAAATTGCTCCTGTAGTGTAAATAAAGTTTTCTCTAATCACTTAGCTTTATAAAGTCTGAAAATATTATTCTTAATGGATGTTTGTTCCCAAAATCTAAACATATATTTATTTTGAGACGGTAGTATATACTTTTAATGGGAGATACATTACTGACCTTGATAAGATGGTTATATTATTGTCTCCATTTCCCGACTTGCCTTTTCTTTTGTGGGATAAACAATCTCTCTTTTTTTTTTTTTGGGTTTTCTGTAGTAGCTTTAAGCCATAGGAAAATGAGGAACATAGGATGCTAGTCATTTCAGGGATAGCCCATGTACTTTTCTTTATATGTTTTTATCCTGGGGGAACTAGAAGTCTATAACCCTCCTATGTAAGCATTCTCACCGCAACATTCCTTGCTCTTCTTGCATAAGCAGATGTGGTTTGTTGTTCGTGGAGTCAATTATCCTGTGATATATACTTGATTTGTTTCTTCCTGCTTTGTTTGTCGATTGTTTCCCTCTAGCATGATTTTTCCTTTTACTTGGTTTGACATTTAAAAACTTTGGTTGGCTTTAGATCTGGTCATTCTATAGTGGCATCGTCAGGCCTACTCTATTTATAATGTTGAACATCATAGTTTATATTTTTTGGGCTTTCAGGAATTTATGAGGGAACTAGTTGCTTTATTGTTTGTTTTCTTGCTGGTCATGTACTTCGACGTGTTTTTTAATTTCCTGGAGGGACAATTTAATTTGGTTTATTACAGTTCTGTGCAAATGTTTTTTAATTTCCTGGAGGGGGACAATTTAATTTGGTTTATTACAGTTCTGTGCAAATGCTTTTTGATCTACCTGCATGAAGGCAATGGCTTGCTCTTAAGTTTATAAGGGGGTTTTGCAAGTTGTTCACTCGTAGAAAGGGGGTTTCAAATTATTTTCTTCTAATTTATACCATTGTTCAGATTCCGTAGCAGGATGCTTTTATTAGTTTGGTTAGCAATCTTGCTAAATTTGTGTTGTCTATGAGTCACTTGATCATTTTCTTGCTATATGGCATTGTCAAATGTTGTAAAATGACTGCAATATATCTCTGCGCTTTCTTTTTTTTTTTTTTTTTGCGCTTGAATCCTTCCATTTCAAATGATTATCAACAATTAAAGGAATTCAAGACATCTTAACCTAACTAGTATGATTGCAAGAACTGCGTTGGCAATCATATTTGTTTTCTTCAAAACAGTTGTTATTATGATGACCACTGGTATTGTTCTTCTGTAAAATCCTCTTGAGGGTGTAGCATTGCACCAACAATTCTCTTTAAGTTAAGACTATGGTGTATGTGAAATAACCATGTATGTTTGGATTGAAACCAAGTGACAGGGAAACAATAACCTCCATCCACAACCCTGCGTTGAACCTCTTTCTGATAGGCTATAAAATACACAGCATTGTATTTGCTTATAGGCTAAAGAGGAAAGCAGATAATGAGATATATATAGAGGGAGAGAGAGATCGGCTCTGAGACGAACATATTGATGTTAGCAATGCCAGTCAAATCTATTTGTAACCATTAGTTAATTCATTTCAAGCCATTTACTCTATCATGCTTCCCACTTCGTAATACTTCCTTTTTCAATTATATTTTGCACCCCAACAACATTCACCCAGTGCACATTTTTTATATCTTCTTTTTTGTGAGCACATTTTTTTTTAAACTATGATTAATCTTTAAATTCCGTCCAACATCTTTATGAACAGATGAGAAGTGTGAGGGTGTTGGGTCGTCTGAAGAGGATCAAGACAATAGTGGTGGGGAAACAGAACTTCCTGAGATTGATCCACGTGCTGAAGATCGAGAACTTAAGAACCACTTATTGAGGAAGTACAGTGGTTACTTAGGTAGCCTCAAGCAAGAACTTTCAAAGAAAAAGAAGAAAGGAAAACTACCCAAAGATGCCCGCCAGAAGCTACTTAGTTGGTGGGAGTTACATTACAAATGGCCATATCCATCAGTATGTATATCCTCTTTGACTTGGATTCTTTTACCCCTCTGACTTTGAACCATCCCATAGAGTTCATCCTATGAAACTCGTATTTTATTGTAAAAAATAATTTCTTGTTCATGTTTTCTCGTGATATAATACGAAGGATATGCTTTATTAAACATATACAGGAGACAGAGAAGGTGGCCTTGGCTGAATCAACTGGTTTGGACCAAAAACAAATTAATAACTGGTTCATTAACCAAAGGAAACGACACTGGAAACCCTCTGAAGATATGCAATTCATGGTCATGGATGGTCTTCATCCACAGAATGCAGCTATGTATATGGAGGGTCACTACATGGGTGAAGGTCCTTACCGCCTGGGGCCGTGAGGAACAACAGGATAGAGAGGGTTTTCAATTTCTGGTCACTCATGAATGCTATGAGGCCAGTTTAAATTCACTTTCAAGCATACCATGAAAGCCTGCCTGTTGTGCAATGTAATTGCTGTAGCAAGAATTGGGTAAGGTCTATCACAGCCCAATCTGATATTTATACCGAGACTTGACTTTGTTCAGTAGTTTTTGATGTGCCAACATCAACTTGGGATCTTATTTGGTTTGTGATCCATTTGAATGTATATGCATTCAAGAGGAACATTTTAAGTATTTAGCATCTATAGTGTATGTGCCTTGGTGCACAGTATTGTTGCTCCATTATAACCTGAGTATCAAGGGTTCGAATCGCGAAAAACCACCTCTCCAAGGGTAAAAATGCGTACATTTTATCCTACACAATGGCAAGAGCCTTGTTGATTGTGTCGCGCTTTATTTAGCATCTGTAATGTATTTAAGCCTTTATAGGTTTATGAAAGGGGTATCTACTTGTGGTTCAACTGTATATTATGAGAAATATAGTTAAATATGATTTTAATAAAAGCTATAATTTCCTGCTCTCCTATCTCAAGTTCTTAGTTCCATTATTTTGTTGTTCACTTGAGTACTGGTGAATTGTAAGCCTCTAAATTTATGCTTCTGCTCATTTATCACATTCATATTCCTCTTGATCTTCAATGATATATATAGGCAAATATCATCACAATATGTTATCCAAATGTATTTCACTCCTTGGATTAACCACTAGAATCGTACATATTTATGACAAAACCCCTCAAAGCTCGAAAAATTTTAAGGAACTGCACCAACTCAACTCTGAGGCCGGATGTCTAATACTATCAGATTTTACAGCTACACGTAACATGATCAGGAATTAGTTGCATCAGTCACAGAGTCGGCTTCGGGTCAGGACTTACATCCCATTACATGTAAGTTAATGTTGGTGGAAAATCTGAACTTCAGAAGGATCAAATCGCCTCGAAGGGGTTCTTCAACACTACTTGGTGCTTGTACTGTAATCCTTTAATGTGTGCAGAGTTGGGTGTGTTTTTTATCACAGGAGATCTATAAAGAAATTCGGATTGTGACACCACTGCGATTCAATCAAAGCCAGTCACTTTCCATTTCTCCTTCTCTCCACCTTCATCATCAGTTTGATAAATAGTGTTGGATTCTATGGATAACAATCATTTTCTTGTTGATTTCCCATTAGATTATAATTGATGGGTATGGACCAAGACCCAACTCAGGTTGTGGTCCAAATTGAATAAAGGATCCATCTATACGAAATTTAATGGGTCCAATCCAAAAGAGATTCATTCCTAGTCAGATTCATCAAGGCTCCAAGAGCCACGTCATCAAAGAGTAGGTATCACCATCCAAAGAGTCTCATTCACACCACTTTGGAATAAAGAGCAAGGAAGCCATCCACGTCATCCTAAGATCTAGTCTTGAAGAAAGTCTCGCAACAGTCTCATCCGTTGCGAAGATAACACCACCTCCACCACATTAGCTTTTTAGTTACTGATAAGTCGCCTTAATCTATTACGAGATGACTATAAAATGTAAACCCCACCTATATATGGGGGCATCTCACACAATCTTTCACTTTTAGCATCACTCTCATCTTCCTCATAGCTTGTGCCTCACCTAAGCTCTCATTGCTCTCACTTGATCTCTTTACACTCTCACTTGATCTCTTTACACTCCTACAACAATAAAACACTCAGACCATCATAACATTTCATAGTGGAGTGGGTTATCTTGACCGAACCATTTAAATTATGTGTTGCTTGTGTTGAGTTTTCTCTCTTTATTTTATTATTTGCATTAATTACTTCATCAGTAATGTGTAAAACTAATTTGTGCAGCATCAATAATAATGAAAGTTAAAAAGAGTGCATGAAGCTCGTGCTTTTAAACAATCAAATTTTAAACTATTGCACAAACTCTTCTCCAGTACACGAAGCTTGAACTACTACAAGACCATGTGTACTGCATCACAGTGAAGCTGGATTTGTGTATGACATTGCAATACTAGTGGATGAAATGGAGGTCCAGAATTTGTATAGTTTTAGAGAGGATGATGATTGTGTATATTCATTTTGGTGGGCCTGGGCTGGGTCAACTCTTTCTAAGCCAGTGCCTGGATCAGTTTGCAGTGTCAAATGGCCCTACAGCCCTACGAGGCCCAAGCTGTAGGACTTAATACTAGATTTTTTATGGGGTTTTTAAAGTAGATTCACCTAATTAGATTTATTTGACAAAAAGTACATATTAAAAAATATTTTGAAAAAAAGTACACTAGTTAGATACAAAGACATAAATGCCCATTTTAAGAAAAGTGGTACATTAAATATCTCCTAGTTTTATGGGAGAATTTTAATAATTAATACACATTGATTCATGTGTATTTGTCAATATATATATATATATACACGTGTAAAGGGTAACATTGAAAGTGGAAAGTGTAAAGTATTACCTTATGTCTCACCTTATTTAATGAAAAGTGTAAAATGTTACATGTTAACATCGAAAGTGTAACACTTTCTCAATTAATTAGCATTTTTAGTATAAGACGAGACATGTACATTCTGTTTGTGTAACATTTTAGGTAATGTCTTTCCTTACCTTGTATAAATAGTTTGTTACATTGTTATTGCTATACTGTTATTGCTACTTTCAATATTACTCTATAACATTTTACATTTTCTATTAAGAAATGCAAGACATAAGATAATACTTTACACTTTCAATGTTACACTTTACACGTATATATATATATATATATATATATATATATATATATATATATATATATATACATATATATATATATATATATACACACATAAATCAAGGTGCATTAAATAATAAAGTTCTCTCATAAAACTAGGAGATATTTAATGCACCACTTTCTAAGAACATACACATTGATCAATGGAAGACAAAAATGTCACAAAAAAATTAGGCAAATTCAAATTGTGTATTTAGATACAAATAAATATCAAAATTAAGAACTTAATAATTCTACATTTTTTAGTGAGTATTTTTTACCAAATAAGTCTAATTTGGTATACCCCTTCCAATTTACCCATTTTTGATTGTGTTTAATTTGGGGATAGTTATAAAAGATGTCATTTACCACCCCCCCAACCTGCGAAGAAGAGTAAAAATTAGGTGTAACGGTTATATCATGTCAAACATACTAATCCATTGTTGATTTTGTATCAGATCGATCTAAAAATATTTGAGGTTTTAGACAAAAATTTTAAATGAGACCCTAAATTATTTTTAAATGAATAATCTGGTTAGTTTTATTTTAATTTTAAATATTTAAATTCATATCTTTTAGCACATATATTTAAGGACGAAAATAACTTGCAAAACAAATATACTATATGAATGATTATATTAAGATTAATATTATGTCAAAAATTATAATTCAAAAAACTTAAACTGAATAAATAAGTCAGAGCCATTCAGAATTCAAATTAACTAAGAGTAGAGTCTTAGAGTTTTTTGTATAAGAATATGATGCGATCTTTTTTTTCTTTTCTTTTTTGAATTGTACATATATTTATGATTTAAATAAATATTCTTTAAATTTTTTATCGTTTGACGTAATATCATAAATTTTTTATGCCTTTTAAAAATTTAATTATATTATTTTAAAAAGACAATCATAAATAACAGCTTAGGCGACAGCCACGCTTGCTAGCTAGGAGCTGGCCGTGGTTGATGGTTTGTAAACGATGTTTTGAGATGCCGAAAATCACTTTGGAATCTCCGGCGGCCTGCAAATGATTACCTTTACCAAGCCAACCTGGAAAGTTAAAAAAATTACAGTTGTACCCTTTAACAATATCCTAAATACAAGGACATCCCTCTAAATTTTTTTTATTTGCATAAACTATGCACACTAATTTTGACCTCTTTACGTTTAGTAAATCTTTTAAGTATGAATATGATGTTCAAAACACAAATGTACTATATTATTTTTATATATTATGAGACAAATTAAAAATTGTAATTAAAGTATGCTTACGTTTGAGCAAATTCTTAGTCTCATCCCTCTTTTTTTTTTTTTAAAAGGTAAAAAGAGGAAGAGCGACTAGTAGTCTAGTAGTTTTGGGTGTGACCATGAGGGTATCTCTACTAGGGGTGCTAATTAATACTAGCTATTCAAGTTCTACTCGATTTAGATAAAACTCAACTTAAACTCAACTTGTGTTCTAAATAATTTGATCTTGAATAATTTTTTTAGTTTTTTAACAAAAACAAGCTTAAAATGCTTGACTCAAACTCACAAAACTTAGTTCATTTACATGTAAAATAGTCGAGTTATTCGAATTTTAAATAAGTTAAATTTAAATAATTTTTTAAACTTATTTAAAAAAACAAGCTTGTTAGGCTTGAGTTTATGCTCGCAAAGCTCGGCTTGGGTGGTGCCCCCGTTTCATAACATCAAGTTTTATTATGTGGACACATGATGACAAAATGGTAAGTGAAAGTGAAAACATGAACGATAAAGGATTATAGGGATATTTCAGAAAATTAGGTGGGGGTATTCTTATAATTAGACCTAACACCAAGGGTGTCAATGTAATTCACCCTGTATTATGCCCTACAAAAAAAAAAGTTCTATAAATGAGTGGTTCACTTAAGAGCAAAACCTAAACAATTGATTCAAGGGGATAAGAAAGAAGGGAGAGAGGAGAGAGGAGAGAGGAGAGAGGAGAGAGGAGAGAGATGTGTTACGAGGTGAAGTGTTCGGCTTGTGGGAAGACAACCTGGGGTGGCTGTGGACGGCACGTACCGTCGGTCTATAAACGAATTCCGGCGGGCCAGCACTGTCAATGCAAGGAATGGCCCGGTGTTCAGTCTGGCGAGAATTCCGACGCTGCCGAAAATCCCAAGCCTTGTTCTTATTGCACTATTCTCTGAATTTTGTTTGGTAGTTATAGCTGAAAGGAAGGAAATAAAGATCATGGATTGTGTTTGAACTTTGTAACTTTGAAATTCTTTTTCTTTTTTCCTATTAAATTTTCTGTTTGAATTATTTGCTTGGCTTCAATTCCAATTACTGGCAAATACCCAATGATATCGTGCCTTATAAGCTTGAGAAAGATTTAAAGAAAAAAGAAAAAACCAAATTTACCATATCTTCACCAATTCATTAATGTGGACAGAATTATTATCTGTCCACATCTATATAATAAAATAATTAATATTTTAAATTTTATTTCAGTCATATTTTTTTTTAAAGTCATCACCAATCATTTACCTCATCTATCATTTTTTTTGTTAGACTCAAACGTCAAATCTCATCACTCATTTTTATTACTTATTTAATTATTTATATATTTCCTCCCTAAAAATATTATATCACTCATTTCTATCATATGTTTAATTATTTAATATTTAATTAATTTATAGTTAATATAATTTTTATTTCAAACATTATTCATATACTCACGTGTTAAAAAAATTTAATATAATGAAATTAATTTTTTAAATGTTCGAATTTTATATTTTATCGTGTTTTTAGACTCGGGTTATCATTAGTTCATAAATCAGATGCATAGTTATGTGGCTGTTTTAAATGAGGGAGGGAGGGGGGGGGGGGGGGGGGGGGCACAGAGGATAACATGAAAATTTCCCTAACTACTATGATCACCATTATCAATTTTCATACAAGCAACACATATGAAAACCGCATGAGCTTATTCTTTTTTGCAGCAACACGATGTATCTTCCAGCCTTAATGCGAGCCACAAACATAACATAATTAAAACAAACACGGTTAGAGTAAACAAGTTATCAGTATCTTAGGTGGTGTTTGGTAATCACCATTTTTATTTTTATTTTTTGTTTTTGTTTTTATTTTATGGCTAAAAAAAATAAAAATTCGTTTAGTGAATGTTTTTGTTTTTTTTAGCATCTTTGTTTTAAAAATAAAGTTAAAACATGGAAACATCAAAAATGATGTTTTTAAAAACATTCCAAAAAAAAAAAACACGCGCGTAACTTTTAAAGAGGTCTTAATTTCAATCCTCCTTAACAACAAAAAATAAATTTTTTTGCGGGGTATAAAAAGTGATCTCTCTTTCACCCCCTCTCTCTCGATGCCAACGACGAAGATGAAGTCATCACCATCGCCAATCACTTCATTTTTTCAGGTCTCTGGTCTCTCTCAACTCACTCACTCACTCTCTCTCTCTCTCTCTCTCTGTCCCCCTTATCTGATAGTGGGTTTCTGGGTTGGGTGGTGGGTTTTGTTAGGGAGTTTCTAGAGTGAGTTTTTGGGATGGATAGTGGGTTTCAATGGTTGTGGTGGTGGGGGTAGGTTTTGGTGATTGTGGGGGTTGTTTTCGGTGGTTGGGTTTTTGTGGTTATGTTGGTGAATTTTAGTGGTTGTGGTGATGAGTTTCAATGGTGGGATTTAGATGGTGGTGGGGTGGGTTTCAGTGGTGGGGATGAGTTGTGGGTTTCAGTGGTAGGGTTATGGGTGGGTTTCGGTGGTGGGGTTGGATGGTGGGTTTCGATGGTCAGTGGGGTTGGGTGGTGAATTTTTGGTATAATACCAAATAGGTTTTTTATTTTTGTTTTCACAAATTTTTAAATAAAAATGGCCACTAAATATGTTTTATATTTTTAATTTTTATCACAAAATAAAATAAAATTTAGTTCTATTTTTTTATAAAAAAAAACATAAAAATGAAAACGTTACTAAACGCACTCTATAGACTAGCTATTTTTGTTAACTTGCTAGAAACTTGTTTTTGTTTTTATTTAAAGATTGGTAACTAATTTACTATAAACTTATCTCTGATGAGGCAGATACCAAGGAAAAGACCTCGGTAGCTAGCTATGTATTGGTGTTGAGTACTCCCTATAGACTAGCTGTTTATTTTTTATCAAATGTTAAAGATGTTATTTAATTTTTCTTGTTTTTGTTGTTATGGTTGTTGTTTGTTATTAAACTGACTTTAAGGACCTAATGTTTTTATTGATTTGATTGTACGGATTTTTAGGGCTGCAAATTCAAGGGCATCCCAATCTTGGTCAGGTAGGGCCGACAACGGATTGGATCCGTTCAGATTTAAGGACTAGAGTACGGTACATCCATGGAGATTTTAGATATCATACCGAAAATTCAAGGCGGCTAAAATCTGATTTTGTCACTGCAGAATAATGCAGAAATTGACACGTGTAAAGCAAAAACAAAGCAACCAGATGACAACCGGATATCACAACAATGAGTGAGTTACAAAGGTTATGGAATATTTACAATATTATTTGCAATATTTACAATAATAATGGGTTCAATAACAAAGATAATGATATTCTTACAAAGTGAGTGGAACCCAGTACAACGATAATGATGTATTTACGACATCAGTAAAAATGTAAAAAAGTAATGGGATAGGTACAAAAGAAAAGATATATTTACAACAAAAGTGGTAAAATTTACGGCTCGACATCAATGAGTGAGTTACAAAGTTTATGAAATATTTACAATAATACTTGCAAGATTCACAACAATAATAGGTACAATAACAAAGATAATGATATTCTTACAAAGTGAGTGGAACCAAGATACAATGGTAATGGTGTATTTACGACATCAGTAAGAAATGTAAAAATGTAATGAGATAGGTACCAAAATAAAGATATATTTATAACAAAAGTGGAAAATTTTGCGACTCATAGTCAATGTAATGGATGATCGATCAATATAATACAATCATTATGTGGAAAGGTGTTGCGTAAGAAAATGGAATTTTAGAAATAAATAAATAAATATATAATTTGACCGATCACGAATATGAATGATCGATCATAGTGCCTCAATAAGGTGTTTTCGCAAAATAACTGTGATGTTAACAATATGACTAGGTAAAAAGTACAAAATTAATTGTGTAATTACAACAAGATTGAGAAATTTTGAAATTCAGTGGGATTGCGATCGATCAATTATGTATATTGATCGATCATTGAGTTACTGATGGAAAAGTTGAAGGGGAAATGGGATTGTGATCGATCAATTATGTATGATGATCGATCATGAAGTTACTGATGGAGAAGTTGAAGGAGAAGTGAGATTGTGATCGATCAAATATGTATAATGATCGATCATGGAGTTATTGATAAAGAAGTTTATGGGGCCAGTGGGATTGAGATCGATCAATTATGTATATTGATCGATCATAGAGTTACTGATGGAGAAGTTGAAGGGGAAGTGGGATTGCAATCGATTAATTATGTATGATGATCGATCATGAAGTTATTGATGGAGAAGTTGAAGGGGAAGTGGGATTGCGATCAATCAAGTATGTATAATGATCGATCATGGCGTTAGTGATGGAGAAGTTTATGGGATCAGTGGGATTGCGATCGATCAATTATGTATAATGATCAATCATTGAATTACTAATGGAGAAGTTGAAGTGGAAGTGGGATTGTGATCGATCAATTATGTATAATGATCGATCATGGAGTTACTGATGGAGAAGTTTAAGGAACAAGTGGGATTGTGATCGATCGAAACTAAATATGATAGATCAAAAGTTGATATATTTACTTAAATGCCCACAAAGAGTAATAAATTTAAGTGTTGTAAGGGGGGACTTTGTAGTAAATAAACATTGGCTACCCAAATAAATTTTCAAATCCTACAAAATTACCCCTAAATCGCTCGCGCTTACAAAACCCATTCAAAATCCCTTCCAAATCCGACAAAACCCATTCCAAATCCATTCAAAATCCTACAAAATCCATTCCAAATCCTACAAAACCCATTCAAAATCTCCCAATTCCATAAACCCTAAATCGCCCACCACCTCAAATCTCTTTCATCGATTGATCGGGTACACAAACTATTTCTATTGTCAATCTTCCATTGTGAATCTTCATTCAGAGAAGAGTGAAAATTTCCATCATGAATGTTCATTGTGAATCTTTGTTGAAGAAGACTGAACCACATTTGGAGCTCCGGTGATGTCGGGCGGAGAGACGAAGAAATGGAGGAAGGTGGTTAGCGGGGGGAGTTCTGGCAATGCCAAACTCTTTGTGGATAAAGATGCTAAGAAGAGGTATGATTCATTCATTGTTAAAAGTCCTCTTTTAATTTAGCGTGGTGTTTACCTTGATGAGCTAGTAGGGAGTGTGGATTCCCCTGAAATACTTTGGGCTTGGAAATGGGAATCTGTGTTTGATGTGAATGTGGATGATAAAACATATGTTGAACTGGTTAAGTTTTTTTATGCAAATATTCATCAGTACAATGAGAATGAGTTGACATTTAAGACACTGGTTAGGAAGAAATCCATCACTGTTTCGTCTGATCTTATTTCAAATATATTAAAAATTGATAGACCAGACATTCTTGAAAATTTCATTGTCTTTCCATATTCAAGTAAGGAGCAGGCTCCTGAAATGGCGATGGTTATTCGATGTATTTGTATTGGGAGTGTCCCTTGGGAGAATGAAAAAAGCAAAATTGCTCACATTGACCTTACTCCAACGTATAGGATGATAAACGGAATTGTTGTCTGTAATATACATCTGAGAGGGCATACTGCTGAGAATGGATACGATACGACCCAACTATTATATGATATTGATGAACGTGAAGTTATTATTGATCTACCCCTTTAAATATTCAAACATGTTCGTGAAGCATCTACTGTTGAGGATTGTAGGCCATGTCTTCCATTTCCAATATTAATTTTCAAGATTTTGAAGCATAGTGGGGTTGAATTTTAGTAGAATGACAGTTTTATTTACCCCATGAATCCAATGGGTATGAGTACACTTAATAAATGTGTGGGAGCCATTCTGGGTGTGAAACGGGCCAAACGTGTGAAGCAGCCAGCAACGGTGGCTCAGGTTGTGGGTAGTCAAGCTAGGAATAGTCAAGTTGGTTCTGATGCTGGTACTAGTAAGGGTGGACAAACACTTCAGCAAATGGTTAAAAAGTTGGAGGCCCAATTTGAAAAGTTTGAGGATAAAACGAAAGGGTCATTGTAGCGTTTGGAGTCAAAATTAGATAGTTTTTATAAGGAATTTAAAAAGTAAATCAACAAATGACACATTGGTTTTGTGTTTTTTTTTTTTTGTGAATCTTTTTTTGTATAGTAATATTTGGCATTCTGGCAAAGGGTGTTGTAGATATTGAGTGGATAGTTGTTAAATATATTGGCTAGTAGCTAGAAACGTTGACATGTTGTAGCTGATATTTTGGCCTCTATTGTTGTTCAGACAAGAATATCTACTGAGTTATCTTCTCATAGCAGTCTGCCTATGTCTGGCAGATTGCTTCTTCATTAGGATCAGTTTGGACTGAATACTGCAAGAAAAAGGAGACTTGTGGTTTGTGACCAAAGACAAAGAGTTGGATGATGGAGGAGAGGTTAGAATGCTTGATGGAAGACTGGGTCGTTCATCTGATTGGTCTAGTCTATGTCTGGGTTGATACTGTGCTGAGCATGGGGTGTTGTTTGTGGTTGGAGGATAAGTTACTTTGATCATTTTTAAGGATTAAATTCAACTTTTGTGATGATTTATATTCTGGCAGACTGTGTGGGCAAGTTTTATGTCTGGGCAGTTGGTGTATAGAGCTGACTCTTGGTTTTTCATCTGAACTGGATTGCATTGGTCTGTTTATGATGGATTTTGTATTTTCTGGTGGATTGACTTTGAAGATAGCTACTGGGATGCTGAAGTGGAGGGTTGCTCCTGGTCTTTATGCTTGGCTGTTGGACTGGTTTGCTATTTTGTTTTGTTTCAGTAGCTGTCTACTATTCTGGTAGACTGTTGCTATGAGCTGGGCTGTTAGCAAAGGTGCAGAAGCTGAATTTGGGTACATAGCAAACCAGCTGGTACTGCATGGGTGTTGTACTGGTTTGTTTCTGATCTGGGGATTCTACATCAGGAGCTGTGTGGGAGTTTAGGAGCTGGACTGAAGATTAGAAGACATAATTTTGTAGCTTAAAATGGTTTTAATCATCTTGAAGGATTACATCCATTTTTGAAATTTGTAGAACTGTTTGTTCTTTGCTTCTTGTAATTACTTCTTCGATCAATATATTGACAAGAAAAGCAGTACAAAGCACATGTAGTCGTACTCACCTCCAAAATGTTTAAAGAAGTATTAATCTATTACCCATACACAATTGAATCAAAAGCAGGGATCATATTATTATTATTTTTTAATCAAAAGGAAATTTTATTTATTTATAATGCAAAGTATTGACAAAAAACAAAGGAAAAGGCACAGACGCCCATCCATACCTAGTAAAAGGCAAAACTAACAATGCAAAGCAAAAAATACACAACATCAAGCTCTAAAGTTTCAGCAAAAATCCCCATCACAGTCCATATCCATAAGCACATATGAACAATGAAGAGCTTTTTATCTTTTCCCCTTGTTTCAAACAAATCAACACTTAATAATCCAAGACAAAAAGATGCAGCAGCAGCTCTTATTACCCCTTATCATTGAAGACCACCCTCTTACTTTTTCGCAAAACAGGGAGACTCTGTTGATCAGATGACAGAACCAAGCTAACATCAAAAGGCAACTTCAAACCCATCGAAAAATCAACCAAATTCCTACTCTTTACCGCCTGCCCAGCAAGACTATCAGCATCACCCGCATTCGCCTCACGAAAAATATACACCAAGCTATAATCCAGACCCCTCAAGAAACCACTGATATGTCTCAAACATGTCCAAGGATTGTCACTAATACCCAAAACATCATTCACCAAAATCAATGAATGACATTCAATTTCAAACCTGCAACAAGTCAAACCATATGCCAAAACAAGCTTCAATCCATTGCACAATGCTCTAAATTCCACAATGATGTTAGAGCACTGCCCATCAAAAAAGGAGGCAGCCACAACAATGCCACCCCATTCATTATGAACCATAGCTCCTCCCCTTGAAATTCTTGGGTTTTTCTTGGAAGCCCTATCTATATTAAGCTTCAATGATCCAACACCTTGACTCATCCATTATACCCATCTACATTTAACTTTCACCTTATGAGAAAGGTCAATCTACAAAGCACTCAAGAATTCTTTTCCATTCTCATCATCCAGTGCCCCTCAACAGCCTTTCTCTCTCCCTCAACTGCCCATCGCAAATTGGGTTTCTGCCTCCAATATATCTCTTCACGCCTCAATGTTTCATCCAGCTCACCCTATACCCTTTCCAGTATATCACTTCCTGTTAAAAAAAAATTAAAAACGGATATGAAAACCATGTTGGTAATTTGATGAATTTCCCAAAGTAATTAAAAGGTTATAATGTATGAAACCTAATATCAAAGGACATTGTAATTGTAAGTTGGATTCCAATGGTCGTCTTCTTGAGTTGATGGCATGGGATGTTGGGAGCCACCAGGTTGTGAGAAGGGCATGTTATTGTCCGAATTTGGTATTGACAATTTACGTGCAAGTATACACGATCAAGAAGTAATAAAATGATAAGTAAAGTATCGTTCCCACAGAGAAATATTGCTAATAACTTCCGAGTACTAACTTTGTATCAATTCAATTTTATTTAAACAATTGGAATTGAACTATGAATTCACTAACTAAATCTAAACATAACAATCAAGGGTTGAATTTACTAGAGAAAAGAAGTTAAGATTACAACTTCCCCTAATGCTTCATATAAGTCTTTCTAACTCTTTTTCTAGTTAATTGATCAAAATAAGTTGTTAACTGAGAAGTCAAAGTTATTTATCAAACCTCTTCCGACAGTTAGATAAAATTATCTCTCCCAATTAAATTACTATATTCCTATGCAAAATAAGTTGGAATAGATTCATTAACTTCAAACTCTCATAAAAGTTACACATGACATATAGGTATATTCCTATCCTATACACAAATTCAGCTATTCAATCTTAAGAAGAATACACTAGACGCATGTCATCATATTCAGATCTAAACCTAGAATTTATCTCCCAATTTCATCTAGGTTATCAAACTAATTGTTGGTCATACAATCATACATCAATCACAAAATATGACAAACAACTCATATAAGATCAAAAAGAACTAGAAACGAGAGTAGATTAATTTAACTAGACATTAGGTTTTGTTGCAATCTTAATAAAGATTTAGTTCATAACGTAATTGAAGAATAACATTCTAAAATTGAACAACATCTTAGAAAATCAAGAAGTAAATGTAAGAGAAAAGAATGAAAATTTAGGTGCAATCTTCAATCCTTCTTTAGCCTTCAAGACCAATCTTCTTCGCGTCGATTCTTTCGATTCTTGTCTTCAATTTTCTATCAACTCTTGGTCTTTTCTAGATTTTTTCAGCCCCCAAAAATCAGAATCTCCCCTCCTCTCACAAACCCTAGCATATATGTAGCTTTAGAGTCTAATTTCGAGTCAAAAACAAGTCAAAACTCGCGTCATGGACTAACACAAGCACGGGGATGCCCATAATGGCATAGGGGTGCCATTTTGGATAGTAGTTTGGCAGTAGGTTGGCACTGGGGCACCAGTTTTGGCACAGGGGCGCTCCCCCTAGTAGGCTGCCTGCTCCGGACCAGGTTTTATAGAATTGTTATAACTTTTGAAACAACAGTTCAATTGAGCTGAAAGTTTGCAAAAAGATAGACGACATCCAGATCTAAACCTTTTATTTTTTGCACTTTGTCAAATTTGAAGTGGGTCATGGTCAAAGAGGCAAAAAATCGAGGTACTGCTACAAAATAATGTGAGTGCTGATGCCTATGTTACCAAACATCAATACCTCCTTGATTTCTTTCACTTTTAAGCCTCCAAATCCTCATGTAATGTTTCCATCTCTTCACCACTCATCCACACTTAGTTGCAAGGCTCTCAAATCCATTATTTACACTATAATTACTCCATTACAATGCCTTTTACCTTCCTCTTCAAAAATTCAACACTTAGGCTCCAATTTTGACCTTGTTTTCTCCCAAATGATCATGATTCCTTCCAAATGATCATCCCTACAAAATAACATCAAAACACACAAAATAAATAAAAATGAGCATAAAATAATTGGAAACTTGCAATTTCATTAAGCCGAAAGTACTCAATTCATAGGTATAAAACTCACTCATCAAATACCTCCAAACTTGAATCTTTGCTTGTCCCCAAGCAAAATACTAAGAACAAAAACTATAAAAATCAACCCTCACAACCAACTACTCAAACAATGGATCAATATAAACCTGAACAATGGCCCCAAAAAGTTACTACAAATAATAATTCACGGGAAACTTCAAAATAGTGCAAAGTCTATCAATGTAACATACTTCTTAATTTTACCTCCGGTCATGACCTTTTAAATACATGGACATATCCGGACTATCAAGCTAGTCATCATCCAAATACATTTACGTAATTAAATGTTTCATAGGAGATACTTAATATCAACTCTATAAACTTACGTTTCACATCATCCACTCATTAAGGAAAACATATAAATAAAAGGACCAAATATTTTTTTTTCTTTCTCTTTTCCATTCGTTTAGTGAGTGCATTTTATGCTCCATCTCACCTCCTATTGAGCGAGCGCATTTTACGCTCCATCTCGTTCTCAACATATGTTTATGAGTGAGTGCGTTTTACGCTCCAGCTCTACTCACCACATGCCCCT